ATCACCTCCCAAAGCCAAGGCAAAGCCCAGACCTCACCCTGCACAAGAGGATTCCTCACCACACGGGGGAAGGTGCGGGTCCCATCCGTGGCACTGCAGCCGGGCTCACCTGGTGACCAGGACTGGGTGCCACGGGTGCTGGGCCAGCGCTCACCCCAGCCCCACCAGCAGGCAGGGAGGGTACAGGGCACTGCAGAGGGGAAACTGAGTCACAGAGAATGGAGGGACTTGTCAGGATTCTGACCCATGGCTGGCAGAGCACAGGGGCCACGCGGCCCTAGGGCCCTCTCAGGCCTTGTCGCCCTCTCAGCCGGCGGGTAGGGGCCGGCCATGCTAGTGGGTGTCCAATCCCACCCGGGAAGGGCAGCGTGGGTCCAGCCCTGGTCCGAATTCCTGTCCTGCCAGCTGGGAGGTGTGCGCAGGCCCCTTTGCCTTCTGTGCCTCAGTGTTTCCATCTGTAGATGGCAGTTGGCAGCGTCTTGGTGAGGATTCGGCGGGTCCTGCCGCCCACCCACCCACGATGGGCTTAATCAACAGGTCCTGGCCAGGCGCGGTGGCTCAAGCCTGTAATCCCAGCACTTTGGGAGGCCGAGATGGGCGGATCACGAGGTCAGGAGATCGAGACCATCCTGGCTAACACGGTGAAACCCCGTCTCTACTAAAAATACAAAAAACTAGCCGGGCGCGGTGGCGGGCGCCTGTAGTCCCAGCTACTCGGGAGGCTGAGGCAGGAGAATGGCGTGAACCCGGGAGGCGGAGCTTGCAGTGAGCTGAGATCTGGCCACTGCACTCCAGCCTGGGCGGCAGAGCGAGACTCCGTCTCAAAAAAAAAAAAAAAAAAAAAAAAAAATACAAAAAACTAGCCGAGCATGGTGGCGGGTGCCTGTCATCTCAGCTACTTGGGAGGCTGAGGCAGGAGAATTGCTTGAACCCAGAAGGCGGAGGCTGCAGAGAGCCCACATTGCACCACTGTACTGCAGCCCAGAAAACAGAGCAAAACTCCATCTGCAAAAAACAAACAAAACAAAACAAAACAAAACAACCTGAATGAAGCCGGCTTGAGCAAAGAAGGGACTTTACTGGCCCACCCTCTGAGCTGAAGTGGTGCGCCATTAGGGACTTCAGGCATAGCTGGATCCAGGTGTCCACAATGTCTCCAGGCTTCTGACTGCTCATCTCTTGGCTCTGTTGTTCCCTATGATGGCTCCACACTGAAGAAAGGGCATCTTTGTGTAATTTGCACCAAACAGGCTGCCCCTGCCTGTGGTGCCCATGGCCTTCCTGAGGGTCGGGAGACTCAGGATGGCCGCCACGCTGGAAGGAGAGACTGCTGGCAGGTGTGCCCGCCTCCTTCACTGCACAGCACCCACTGGGACCGAGCGCTCTGCGGCGCCAGGGACGCTGGAGGCCCTGACAGTAGATTCGCTCTGCTCAGGATCAATATCACAAGGCAGCAAACGACCACAGCCAGGAGTGAACAAGGGCATCTGACTCCTCCGGGGTGGGGGCTGACCTGAAGGGCAGTGAGCCAAGACCTGAGGCAGGGCGAGACACCACGCAGGCACGGCATCCCTGGGTGGTGCCCACTTAGAAGTGGAGCGGGGAGGGCACGGGCAGCCGCAGCTCCCAGACATCAGCACACACAGACGCACACACAAGTGCACACCAGCAGTGATGCAGGCACACACAAGTGCATGCAGTTACACATGCATACACAGTTCACATGCTTACACGTGCACACGCCAGCACACACGCGCTGACACAGGCACACACAAGTGCACGCAGTTACACATGCACACACAGCTCACATGCTTACACATGCACATGCCAGCACACACGTGCTGATGCAGGCACACACAAGTGCACACAGTTACACATGCATACACAGCTCATGTGCTTATACGTGCACATGCCAGCACACACGCACTGACACAGGCACACACGAGTGCACACAGCTACACATGCATACACAGCTCACATGCTTACACATGCACACGCCAGCACACACGTGCTGATGCAGGCACACACAAGTGCACACAGTTACACATGCATACACAGCTCATGTGCTTACACGTGCACACGCCAGCACACACGCTCTGACACAGGCACACACAAGTGCACGCAGTTACACATGCACACACAGCTCACGTGCTTACACGTGCACACGCCAGCACACACGTGCTGATGCAGGCACACACAAGTGCACACAGTTACACACATGCATACACAGCTCACGTGCTTACATGTGCACACACCAGCACACAGGCAGCTACACTCGAGTGCTTGCAGGCACTCACCTGGTCACAGGGCCACTGTTACACCAAACAGATGACACAGTAACATGGGCACACGTGCAGTCACACTGGCACACACATGCAGAAGCACATGGCTACGTATGTGCACCTACCTGGCACGCACACACACGCAGCCTAGGGATGAGTGGCTGGGGCTGAAGAGGGTACCAGGCGCCCGTAGCCCTGTCAACCCATCACAGGCCCTGACGGGGACTCCTTAGTGCAGCTCCTCAGGCCACTGTCAGGAGGCGGGGCTGCGCCGAACCCGCAATCCCAAAAGCTCCTGGTGGATTTGAGATGGCAGAGACCTCTGGGCCCCGCGGGCAGCGGCAGAGACAAAGCCCAGCCTGGGCTCAGAGCACGGAGACGGGCCCTGTCCTGAGGGATCTGAGGGGGACAGGGTCCCGTCCTGAGGGATCTGGGGGGGATGGGGTCCTGTCCTAAGGGGTCTTGTGGGGGACGGGATCCCATCCTGAGGGGTCTTGTGGGGGACGGGGTCCTGTCCTGAGGGGTTGGGGGGGTAATGGGGTCCTGTCCTGAGGGGTCTGTGGAGACGGGTTCCTGTCCCGTGGGATCTGGGGGGGGGGACGGGGCCCTGTCCTGAGGTGTCTGAGGGGGGATGGGGCCCTGTCCTGAGGGGTCTGAGGGGGGATGGGGCCCTGTCCTGAGGGGTGTCAGGGGAGACGGGTCGGTGTCTGGTGGGGGTAGTGGAGATGGGGTCCTGTCTGAAGGTTCTGGGTGGAGCTGGGACCCACCCTGTAGGCACCGTGTGGGGTCAGAGTCCTGTTTCCTCACATGGGTGCCGTCACCCGAGCTGGAATCGTGGAGCGGCACCCAGACCTGCTGCTCCAAGGGAGCGGTGGTTTATCAGGGACTGGGCTCCTGCCCCCTGCCTGCCTCGGCCCAGGGCAGGAGAATGTGGAGGGCATTCTGAACGTCGGTGGAAAGGACCTCACTGATCTGGAACCCTCTCCACCGCCTCCCTGGGGTTCACGGCAGAGCTCTCTCGTTATTAAACAGCCAGGCAAGCCAACCTCCCACCCCCGTATTCCCGAAACACCTTTATTGCACTATAAACAGCTTTATAAACAAACACGCTTGGGGAGTGTCTTACAGATTTACCCACAGTCAACCTCAGACACTAAGATATCAAACAGTGCAGGGGCTATTAAACGGGGGACCCCAGAGAGAACAGGGCCTGGGAGGGGTGAGCATCAGAGAAGGCGGGGAGCGTCTCTCTCCATGCAGGGCACCCTCCCCGCCTCCCCGCCTGAGGAGCTCCCGCCCTGGGTGCCCTGGCTTCCAGAGAGAGCAGAGCGCCTGCAACACCAGGCTCAGAAGGGGCCCAGCCCCAAGGGCCCTGCACTGTCTCTCTCTGGAGGGCTCACAGGTGTGTCCCACCGAACGTGCAGCAGGGGCCCGGCTGCTCCTCCAGTCCTGGGAAGCAGCTCCTCCACCCTTCCCTGGTCAAGAGGAACAACGTGCAGCAAACGGGCTGATGAGGGACGTCCTGGGATGCCACAGATGCGCCCCGGGATGCCACAGATGTGCCCTGGTTCCCCGTGCCCACCAGCAGCCAGGAGAGGCATAGGCACTGCCCTGGCCTGGCCCCTGCTTTGAGTCTTTTCTGCATCATTCTGAGCTGGAAACCGCCCCCCAAAATCATTCAAGGACCCACATAACCACACAATGGAAGCCTTGCGGCCACCGAGCAGCATGAAAGGCCACAGCCGGGTCCCCCAGCTGCCTCCTGGGCTCTGACCCACCCGCCGTAGCCGCAGCCTATTTACACACGGCGTCAAAGCCACGGCCGTCAGTCACCGCGTGTCGCTCCCAGCTGCAGACGCTGGACAAAAGGGCGACGGGTGGCAGCCCCCAGCGCGGAGGAATGGGCCACAGGGCTGCTCTCTGGCATCTCTGAGCAAGACCCTCCAGCGCCACAGCGGAAATGGCCAGACAGGCCTGCACCCAAAAGCAAGTGTCAACCGTGTCGGAGGAACGCAGGACAGGAGGGCCGTTTCCTCCAGCGGACCTCTGCCAAGACCTCCTCTGCTCTGGCTGTGGCAGCAGCTGCTCCCTCCGCGCCCACCCTCGGCAAGGCACCCTGGCCCGGTCCCGGTCACCACCGGAACCTGGGAAGCTGGGAGACCCAGAGACAGCCTGGCCCCTGGAGGGAGCGTCTCGGGCAGAGTCGGGCCTGGACCTGGGCCTGGTGTTGCTGTGAGGCCCTGCTCTCTGCAGGGTGGGAACTGGATGGCGGCAGGCTGCGGGGGAGGAAGACACGCGTGCAGTGGAGGAGACTGTGGGCTCCGGGACTTGTGACCTCCCCGTCCACGGCCCTGCCTTGTCACTTGCACGGATTCCTGGACCCCTGAGAACCTCCTGCTAGAACTCTGCGTGAAAGGGGTGAGGCAATGTGGAGGGGCCTCACGAAGTGGCCCTTCTGTTCCCCTGAGGCCCCCTCTCCTCCTCCTCCTCCTCCTCCTCCTCCAAAGAAATTAATTCATGAAAAATAATACTCCAGTCAGCATCGGGTGACCCAGCAAACCCACGTCAGCTGCAGCATCAGGGCCCAGCCCAGCCTGAGTGTGAGCCCCTCCCCGCCCAGCCCAGCCCAAGCCAGCGGACCTGCCCGCCAGGACCCGGTGTGGAGGAGAGACGGGGGTCTGCCCTCTGCACCCGAGCGGCAGCGAGCAGGTCCCCGCTCTACAGGAAGGGGAGCAGGGAGGTCAGGGGCAGCTCCTTCTCCCCGAGCAGCGTGTCCCGCTTGAGGCTGCTGCCCTTGTTCACCACCTTGATCCTGAGGGCCAGTTTCCGGACGCTGGCCGGCCCCAGGCCGTCGAAGAAGAAATCCTCGTTGAAGACCGGTTGGCGGCTGTTCTTGATGATGGTGCTTCGCTGCTTCTGCAGCTTGCCGGGCACCAGGCACAGGCCCACGCAGCAGTTGATGCTGCGGGCATCGTACAGGCGGTCGTAGAGGCCCTCGGCGGCCAGCAGGCGCACCCGCAGGCGGGCCTGGCCTGCCTCGTACTCCGCCAGCAGCCGCACGCTGCCCCGAGGGCCCACGTGGACCGTGTGCTCTCCACGCGCCTGGCCCGACTCGGGCCAGGTTCCGGGGGTGCCCGGCGGGTCAGGCGGCGCCGGCTGCCGGGGCTGGTGTCTGGAGTGCTGTCGTCAGCCGACAGGGAGCCGTGGCGGCCCACCGAGTGCCGGAGCTGGCTCACCTTGGCCTGGCTGTCCTGGGCGAAGCCTTTGAGCAGTGACACCGAGCGGGAGAGCAGAGGTGATCCGAAGGGAGAGGACTCGGCCGAGGACCCCGTGTCGCTCTCCCCGCCACTGAAGTAGCGGCCGGGGCTCATGAGGGCCCCGCCAGCCTCCCTGGGGCCCCCATCACCCCCGTTGGCCTGGCAGCTGCCCGGCGGCGCCCGGCACCCAGGGAGCCCACCTGGGCCAGGGCCCCGTGCTCACTGTGGAACAGAGACTCCTTGCGTCTAGTGTGGGGGCTCTCGGCCAGCGTGGTGAAGCCGTAGGACGTCTGGGCCTTGGGGACCGAGGGCAGGGACATGGCGCCCTGGGCCTGGGGTCTGGGTCAGTGGCCTCCTCAGGCGGCCACTCCTCAGCACTCTCGATCTGGATCACGTGCCGGGTGGCTGCCTTCAGGAGGCTCTTGCTCTCGGCTGCCAGCTTGGCAGGCAGCCGGGGGCTCCGTGGGGTCTGGCGGGGGGCCGCGGAGGCCAGGTTCTGTTCCGACGTGGACGGGCCCAGCGCGGCCTGTCCATCACCCTCCACGGGGCCCGAGGGCAGCTTGGGGGGGATGAAAAAGTCGGGGATCTTGTCGGGCGTCAGCACATTGCTGTATAGGGGCCCCTTGGAGGCCTTGTCCCCGGCCTCACTCCCCGCGCCCCGGGCAGCACCGTTCTCCCCAGACCCCCGAAGCCGCTCCAAGAACCACATGTTGGTTTTTCTCATGGGGGCGGCAGGCAAGAGGCCAGGACAGGGGCTGCAGCGTCTGGGAAGAGAAGCAGGGTCAGGAGCAGCGGGGGGCGGCTGGCAGAGGGCCCTGGGCACCTGTTCCCTGTGAGGCCACCTGGCCGGGCCCTGTGGGTGGGGTGGGGGTGCAGGGGTCCTCTGGGGGCGTCCCGCCCGGCCGCTGCGGCCCAAGACAGGAGTGAGGCGGGTCCCCCCTCCCTTTTCCGGAGGGGTCCCGCTTAACTCCCAAGCACCCAAGCCCGGGGAGGTGGGGCCGCGCTGACTCTGGGGCGCTCCCAGAGGAGACTGGCCCCCCTCCCCGCCCCTGCTCCGGTTTGGAGCTCTCAGCGCTGGTTCTAAGGGGTTCCGCGCTCAGTCCTAGGGGAAGACGCGGATGTGGGTGGGCCCCCGGGGTGTCCCAGCTCCGCCCCCCCGGCTCCCTCCCACCTGTGGCTTCTCCCCGGACCGCAGGGCCAGGCGTTCGGGTGGGGGGAGGGAGGGGCCGCGGGTCTGGGGCCGAGAGCGCAGCGAGCGACTCCCCGTGTCCCCCCCACCCTCCCGCGACTCAGCCTGGGGTGGGGGTGGGGTCCTGGCGGTGCCCGCAGGCCGGGCGGGGTCGCGGGACTCACCTGCCCGGGGTGACGGCCCGAGGCTGGAGGTCTGTTCGCAGACACGCAGGGGTCTCGGGCGCAGGCTCCCGGGGCTGGCGCGGGGGACGCGGCCGGAGCCTCGATGCGGGCGGCGGCGGCAGCGCAGTCGGACTCATTCACCCGCGGCGGGAAACCGCCCAGCCCCGCCGCCGCCGCCGCCGTATTCCTCCTAGTACGAGCGCCCGCGCCCCCGCCTCGCTCCGCCCTCCAGGGACGGCGTGGGGGGCCGTCTCCCCACAGCCCCCGGAGGCCGGTGGCAGGGAGGAGCCTCGCCAGGACCCGGGGGCTGACGGGGGCCGGAGGGCGACCAGCAGGTGGTCGCGGTTGGCTGATGGCCACTCCTGGCGCTCACGCCCGCAGATTCCGGGAAGCCGGACTCCCAACCCCAAGCCCCTGCCTCCCTACATCTGAAGAGGACCCCAGACCCCCTACTCGCTGCCGGCGAGGAGCTTTCCCGACGGACGACGACGAATTAAATGACGGCAACAGTAATAAATGCAGCTGGGTTTATGATGGAGCGTTTTCTCCCTGGCGGGTCTCTGACTCTCACACAACCCAGTACGCAGGTCCTACTGCAATTCCCAATTTGTAGATGAGGAAGCGTTGGGGGGGGGGGGTTTCCTTCCAGAAACAAGGACCGAGCAGCTGGAACAGCTGGTCTCACTAAACGGGCAACCTCTCAGAAGCCCCCCAAGAAGCCTGGGAGGTTGCTGCTCCTTCATTTCACGGACAAACGTTTACTGAGCACCCGCTTGATGCTGGACAGTGACCCGGCCCCCCGGGGACACAGCTGGGACGGAGGGAGGTGGCCCCGGCCCTGGTGATGCAGGGGCAGGAGGCCCACAGAGCACACAGGTGCAGCTCAGAACTGTAGGGGTGGTGACTCCTGGATCAGGAACACAGCAGGAAGTGTGAGGCACGGGGCGAAGGGAAAGGGCACATCCGTGTGGATTCACGGATGGAAAAACCCAGAGGGGGCAAGACCAGGTCCCAGGTTTCCTGGCCGTTCCTGAGACCACAGGGTCCCCCTTCCTGAGGCCTCAACCCCCTCCTGCCAGTGCTGATGTATCTACCAGTCCCAGCCTTCACTGCTTCCTTCTTTCCCTCCCTTCCCGCCTCAGTTTCCTCTTCTGGCACCAACCTGAGCAGTTCCCAGCCTCCATGTGTATGGAGCCAGCAAGATAACATATCACCAGGACCAACCGGGAGCCGGCGGACGCCTGGCGCTTTATTGGATTATTGATTGTCCAGGAGCCTCCTGCGTTCTGGGAATGTCCCCAAGTCTGGACGTGGCCCAAGCTGGAAGGAGCGGCTGCCGCCACAGCGGTACAAGAGGGGTCCAGGAGGGCGAGGGAGCTGGGCTGAGGCCTCCCCACTCTCCACGTAGCCTTGAAGTGAGGGGTTAGAGTCCTGCCATCCAGAGGAGTAAAGTGAAACCCAGGGGAGCTGTGACCCCATCTCAGCTTTGTTCACCCAGCAAGCGTTGATGAGTCCCCACTTCTGTTCACCCAGCAAACGGGGATGAGCCCCCACTTTGTGCTGGGGCAACCACGACACAGCCCTGAACTCTGACAGGGAGGCAAACACCGAGAAATTCTCCCCTTCACCGCAGCCTGGCAGGGCCCCCGAACCCCAGCTCGAGCTGCCGGGAGGAGGGTCCTGGGGGTCTGTCCACCACTCCCTTCTGGACCTGAACTGGGAGGAGGGTCCTGGGGGTCTGTCCACCACCCCTGCTGGGCCCCCGATCCTGGGGGTCTGTCCACCGGCCCTGCTGGGCCCGAGCCAGGAGGAGGGTCCTGGGGGTTTGTTCACCGCCCCTGCTGGGCCTGAGCCAGAAGGAGGGTCCTGGGGGTCTGCCCACCGCCCCTGCTGGGCCCAAGCCAGGAGGAGGGTCCTGGGGGTCTGTCCCTGTGGTGTCCCCAAAGCCCAGGCCAGCCAAGTCTCCAATAAACATTTGCCAAACAAATGAGCGAATAGCATCACCACAATGGCCCGGGAACAGCGCTCCTTCGGCCCTAGGGGAGGGGCCTCAGGAGCCACAGAGTCACCCTCCTCAATTGCAGACAAAGACAGCAGGGCCTGGGGAGGGAAGGGGACAGCGTGGGCCTGAGGAAGTGGCAGTGACCGGTCTCCTGACATCAGGCCAGCCCCAAGTATTGGGGGTTCGCTCTCCAGCACCCCTGCCCAGCCCAGGTGGGGGCAGACTCTGTCCTCCAGCTGGGTGGGGGGATGAGGCACTGAGTTCCACTACGCTTGTTTCTGTGCTAAGGACACAAATGCAGAGCTGGTCAATCAGGGCTTGAATCCTGGCCTCAACACCTCCCCCTGTGTGACACTTACAAGCATCCAGACCTCCACCTCTTCAGCAGCCCAGGGCATCACAGCCTTGGAGGGAGGGTTCAACAGATCACTATGTGCCTACAGCCGCCCCACCAAGTGTGCGAGGCAGGTGTCAGTCACCATCCTCCCCAGACGCTTCTGCAGGTGAGGAAAGGGTCTCAGCCAGGGGGAGCTGGCCCAGACCTCACGGTGCACCCCAGAGCTCTGACCCTCCCACAGCCTGGCTCGACCAGAAGCCCACCCCATCCCATTTGGGGGCTGCGGAAACAGAGGCCTGAAAAGTACCTGGGATGGGTCCTAACACCTGCCCTGTGGACAGATGCAGGCCCCACCCTGGGTGGGGCAGGAGCAGGCAGGCCGGGGCCTTCCGGCTGCTCAGCTCTGCGCAATCGCTGAGTAAACAGGACTCTCCTGGTCAACGGAACCTTCTGCCTCCATCTACAGCAGCCTCGCTGCAGCCCTCCAGGAATCGGAGACCGGGAGGCTCAAGCTGGAGGAGGGGGCCCAGGTGGTATCGCCCAGCCCCTCTCGGCCCTGAGTCGTGGCACCTCATGCAGCATGACTTTGGCCCTCCATCCCCACAGGTGGGGGCCCCAGCAGGGACCTGGGGCTTCCCAGAGCCAGGCCTGAATCCAAGGCTGTCCCACAGTGGCCTCCAGGGATAACAGGCTTGGAGGATGTACGGGGGGGGTGGGTTTAAAAAAAAAAAAAGGGGGGGGCCTACGATCCAAGCTCCAATGCTGAGGAGGCCACTGGGTACCTGTGCAGCTTGAAGACTTATCCTGGGAGCGTCAGGAAAGGGAGGGGACGGTTGTAATAATAAAGCAATCCCAGGAACAGGACTGTCTATGAGCCTCCCAGGAGGGACCCGGCTGCTTCGTGCATCACAGGTTAGCCCAGTCAAGGGGCCCCTGGAGGCCATCATCGCCAGTTTCCAGATAGGGACACTGAGGCACAGCAGAGTAGCCCGATGCCTCGGGGGCACACACGGAACCGGCTGACCTCCAGGCCTGCCACGGGCAGGGGGGTGCTCCAGTTTAATACTAGCTGATACCCGGGGCATCCTGGCCCCCTCACGGCAAGTCCTCCTGTCTCCTCGTGCAGGGGATTGAGTGCGACTCGGGGAAGGAAATGACTTCATCCAGGCCTCGCACTATTCAGAGGTTGAATGTGACCCAGGGTTCTCCTGCCTCCCACTCCAGGCTCAGCCTCCCGAGGAGTGGATTATTGACCTAATTATTCCAATTATTGGAAGTACAAAGGTAGGAAGGGGTAGGAGACAGGTGTGGGGACCCAGCTGGAGCCAGGCGTCTGGGCACCGCAGACTCTTCCAGCCCAGAGCACAGGATTGGGGAAATGGGGGGCCCCCAAAACCGGCTTCACCACCTCCCCGGTGGATGGTCTCGGAGGTCAACCTCACCTCTCCCAAGCCCTTCCGTCTCCTCATCTGTAAAGCGGGGAGAGTTTCCAGCACCCCAGAGTTCATGCCGGCTGCCTTGGCTCATGTCCCAGCAGGTGCCAGTTTCTATTTACACAGGGACTTGGAAGAGGACAGACGGGAGGCGGGCGTGGTATGGGCAACCGGGGCCCCCGGGGCCCAGGGCGATGAATGAATGAATGAATGAATGAAAGAAGTGAATGAATGAATGAAGGGCATTTAGACCCTCTCCTGTCCTATGCATCTCAGGAATCGGACACTCCTTAGTCCCCAACACTCCTCTGGTCCAGGGCCTCCTCCTTGCCGTCCCCCTCCATTCCTGTCCTGTTCCCAAGAGTGTACTTCCTGCTGGGGAAATCTCATGGGAGAATGTTATCGCCCCTGTGCTTCAAAGACCTCCGGGCAGCCTCTTCCGGGCACCAGGCCTCCCCAAGCTCCGAGTGTCCTCACCCTGCTTCTGACCTTCACCCGGCCACACTGGCCACGCTTCTGCTCCCTGAATGTGCTGACTGAACACACCACAGGGCCTTTGCACACGCCGTCTCCTCTGCCCAGAGCTCTACTTTATTCACCCTCCAATCACCGTCCTTGTGTTGTTCCCACAGAGATACCCTCCTGGATTTCCTGGGATCTCTAAGCTCCAGGACGCGCTCCTT